CAGCCTTTAACAGTAACTTAAGTTGTAAGCTTTAGAACGTAGCAAAAGAAATTGCTGCGAATAAATATAATCTAGTACTGTAGAACCTTGCTTAATCGAACCTGAGTGGGAGCCTGAACTGCCCTCTAACTAGCAGTGGTAAAGCCATATTCTATGAAGAAACTTGTTTTATTTTTTTTAACTATCAGGAAACTCGAGCTCCCCAATTTCTCCTTCAAGTTCCAATTATGGAAGTTTTAGCGTAGTTTAATTAAATTTTTCTTTTTTAATGAGAACAAAGAAACTGCAACAATCATTCAAATAAGGCACAGTGTTAAATGTTAGAATTACATAGAACTGTTTCAAACCTTTTGTAAGGTTGTTTTACAAATACTTTGAACGTTTGCCAAGTGTAGAAACAGGAAATATTTTTACCAAGTCCTAGTTGGATTCATATTTTATTGAAGGGTCTCAATGGGACGATGGCTTTTATGGCGAACAGTTTAAGTTTTCGTCATTTTACGGTTAATTCAAAATGGCATAGAAGATAAGAAAAATTTTTTTGTTTAACTCTTGTTACGAGTAACAGTTAAAATTCGTTAATTTTTACGCCCAACAACCAAATCTTTTGCCCTTTTACTGCTAACGGTTAACCCCACTGAGACCCACGCATAGGGTAGAACCTCTATACAGTGTCCTCTATACAGTGTCCTCCATAATGGCCCTGATACAAATGGTAGACCCTTTGAAAACGATGAATACCTATAAAATGTGCTTGAGAGGCCTGGCTCTAATAGGAACCACTTTAAAATGTCCTAGATGATGGCCCTGATGCTGAACGTGGGCCCTTTAACCCCATTGAGACCTTGTATAGTGTAAAGTATAGAATTATTTAGACTAACTATCACATACTTTTGTTACTTCACCTTTACTTCTGGCAGTCTACATGCCAGCCTATGTTATCTTCTCGCAGTGTGTAGTAAGTACCTCTTACGAACTAAGTTCGAGGTCCGTACTGGAAGTTACGGACCACGTTTTTTTATCACGAGCGGCCTATCGATCCCAGCGGAAAAAAACGAGGCTTCGTAGCTTACAGTACGGACCGAGAAAACGAGGTAAGCAATATTTTTAAAATTATAACTCCAGGTTCAAATAGAGGGGGGAGATTTCAATTCCAACTAACATTCGAATTTTGTGGGCCACACAGTGATAAATATTTAAACTCGGTTGCAGTGACTGATGTGGCCTTCCACTCAACGCATTGGAAAAGACATCAGAGCAAGCTCTAAATTATTGTTCTCTCGAAGGGTGGCCGATGTAATTTTTGAGGCTTACTTGACTGCGATGACCGGAGATCGCTATGATGAGCTAGCCGCGTTGTACCTCAGCATGATCGAGGTCGCTTTGACATCGTCATGATTAGTATGAATTTTTAACAGTTATGCCAGTTTAGCTATATTTTTCATCATCAACAATATATACTACGCGAGTGTCAGCTATGTTTGATTTTTATTACCGTGCGTAAGCTTGCAATCTAACTTAGTGTGAAAACCTTCAGAACTCGGACTGTACATTTCGTTTTCTCATTGAGGATTTTCGTCTCTGTTCAAGTTGTAATAACGTCAATTACGGCGCCAGGCATATTTACAAAACTTTGGTTCTTCTGTTACTATTTGCCGACTCGTCTGTTCCGAAATTTCACTTTCAATACGGAAAAAAAAACTCGAGAAAAGTCCCGGAAAAGGTCGGACATAGTTAACAGTTGGTTCATGCTTTAGCGTGCACTATCGAGTTATGGAGCACGTGGGAAGTTTGGAGAGCACGAAAGAAGCGTAAGAGTTGCCCGAGGCAACTCCAGTTTCTTGGGTGCTCTCCAAACTTTCCACGTGCTCCATAGCTCGATAGTGCACAGCTAAAAGCATGAACCAATTGTTTTATAACATAGCCGGTGGAATTGTGCATCAAATCCGACGCGAAAAACGGACAACAATATCAGAAGTGATTGTTCGCGGTAAGCGAAATATTAAGCAAAATAGGAATTAGTTTTATTTCAAATTTTCTGTTGAAAGTTCGAGTTTTATTTTACAGCAGTTTAACAGTTTAAAGTTTGTATCCATTATTGTCGCGAAATATATTATTTTTCCCCGCGCTAACAATGGCCGCTCGCGCGGAAAAAAAAAATTCCTGGCGAAGCGATTTGCTCACGCTATTAGCGTGCACTATCGGGATTTTGAGCACGCTTACGTATACTGAATTTGATTGCGCGGCTCTGCTAGCTATGTTAGAATACATGTTATAGATGTTTCGACTGAAACTTCTGTCATCTTCAGTTAATTAATGTACGAAGCGTTGGAAGTTGAATTATATAGTAAGTAGAACAATGCTAATTAAGATGAATAGTGACAACAAGAAAAGAGTAAAGCATAAAAGGATAATTTTAGCTTTACATGATGTAATTGTCGATTTAAGGATGGTTGTTCTCTTTGAATATGAATTGCCTCTTTTATCTTGAGTTGAAAACTGGTAGAGGCGTGATCTAAAACATGGAAGTTATCGGCTGAGCACAAAGCGCGACAATGTGCAGAATCTTGCGGATGCTTGAAAATGTGAGTCCCTGTCACTAAGTGCTCTCTAAAAAGTGTGGAAAAACGTCGGCATGTTTCACCGACGTAACAGGCATTACAGTCAGCACATACAAACTTATAAACCACACGTGAACAGAGCCCGTCAGGGACAGGGTCTTTCATACCGATCTTGAAGGGAGAGAAAACCAGCTTAATATCTAAGTCATTGCAATAGCGCTTAATAAAATGGCGAATCTTTTTTGAGTGATAGCAGAAAAATGGCCTATGTAGGGTAGCTTAAAGTAGAACGTAGGTGAAATGGTGGGAAGGGAACCTCAGAGATGATGATTGCTTTGGGTCCCAGTGATGTAACGGTTTATAATCTTCTCGATTAAATGGGCAGGGAAAAGATTCTTTTTTAGAATATCTGTAAGCTTGTTAATGTCCTCGTGAAACCCTAACGAGGTGTTATTAATCTTGTAGGCCCTATCAACGAGAGTCTTAATGAGACCCACTTTGTAAGAGTATGAGGTGAAGCTGAAATAATTAGTTAGTAACCCAGTGAAAGTTTTCTTGCGGCAAACACTGGTTAGAGAGGAACTGGGGTCATTGTTGTCAATCAGGACATCTAAAAAGGATAATTTGTGATTAACCTGCTTTTCCATAGTGAACCTGAATTTGGGGTGCCTAGAGTTAATATAGTCGAAAAATATAGTGGCATCGTGCTCTGAGTGAAATAAAAAAAAAGTTTCATCAACATACCGGCAATAATGTATATGATTTAATTATAGTATATGATATCATGAAAAATCAATGCTTAGGTCTGAGTTATCTTTGAAAGAAGTCAAGTCAGTAGAGAACTGTGGGGAGGGTAAGAACGTAAAAATACTTGTGGAGGGAGGGGGAAGAGTTAAGACTCCCTTTCGTTGCGTATGTTCGTTTGATTTTCAAACTGCCATCAGTGAACTCTTCTACAAAAAAAAAAAATTCGTAAAAACGATGATTAAAACCAAATGAAATCATGGTGACATCCGGTGTTGGTCCAGGAAAGCTCTTGACCTTGCGATTTTTGCGGGCGCTTTGAGCCATTGCGATCTTTTTAGTAATTGGGCTTTCTTGTCAATTTTAACAGACAAATATTCGTTTTGACAATATGACATAGACTACCCTTCACAAATGAGCAGTGTGTTACCAAGAAAATGGTCTCCTTCGCAGCCGTTGTTTGGCTTCGTCACAATGGGAGAGAGACCGTTGCGTGACGGGACCTAACAAAGGCTGCGACTAGTAACGGAAGGGCAAACAAATAAACTTGTCACCGAAAAGATATTCTGAGAATTATTGTGAGACGGTCATGACGGGACATGTGACTAAACTGAACGTCATTTTCTATGAAGCGAGAGAGTGGTTTGCGGAAGTAATTCGAAAATCGTCTTTCAGTTTCTTGGAAGAGATCAGCAATTGTCAGCAAACTTCGATGTATAGTCAGGATCCCGTAAGGAAACAAGTTTGCAGTGATTTCGTTCAAAGTGGGATCTGGTTGATGGCAGATTGATTGCTTTTCTTTGCGCAGCCCGCTTGCCCCGATCGACATTAACACATGGAGCGATGCAGCCTAATGAAACCTAAGTGTTTGCCTTTCCTGTTCCTTCTGGGTTTCGGCAGACTTAGTCCCACAGTGTCTTCTATTGATGAGTCAAACGTGGCGAGTTATGAAGTAGAGAGGAGGTCCAATGCCGGTGACTTGTTTTATGTAAACACGATAAATGTTAGTCAGTGTCAATTAAGCGGCTGGTGCAGTAAGTTTGGACCTGCATATTCGGCGGGGGGTACAAATTGCGGCTGTACTTGTAACTCTGATGTTTCATCTTTCCTCCCGTCGTTGAGGAGGTGTCTAAAAGGAAATCAACTTCTAGAAAACCTTGAAGGTGATTACAGCATTTTCACAAATCCCATAATAGTATCAAGCATTTCGTCTACGGGTCTTTTTGAAGGAAGGGGGTGGTAGGGGAGGGCGTGGAAAGGGAGGTGAAGGTCCAAGTAATTGTGAAGAATAGCATTCAGAAAAAACACGGGAGTGTGACATTCTTTATCAAAATCCTAGTGAAATCACTGGCCTTATGCTTCCAGTATTGCATTGTAATTTAGCATACATTTACAAATCCTCTGCTTGGTGGTGAAGTTACTTGGGTTAACCCAGTGGGATCAGGATGAAAATGTTTGTAGTAACAGAATGGCAGGATGGAATGAAAATATGCATGTTGGTATATATACTCAGTGTACTGTTGCATAGTACAAATCTGACTTTGATCGATTTTGATGTTTATAAATCCTTTCTTTAAACAGGTTGTCCAAAAGGTACATACCAAAATTTGTTTGGTACTGCTAATAATCCTGTCTTTAAGTTTGCTGTTAACCTTACCAGGAGAATAATAAAGAAAACATCAGCTAAGGGAAATCAGCTCAATTGTAGCCTCTATGGATATTTTTTTGATTATGGTGGTTTTCATGCTAGTTGGAAACATGTTCTTGAAGGAATCTTTAAGGTTAATAAAAAGGGAGGTGCATTTAACATAAAGGTGAGACAATTGATTATTCTGTTTACAAATTAATATTTAATAGTTCTACCTTGAAAATTTTTTGTTGAGATTGGGCTTATATCATAGAGTTTACTCAAGTTCACTTTCCACCTATGCATGGGTGTAAGAACTCAGAGTGAAAGGATCATCAAAAGCAAACTTCCTGAAGCACTGGAGGAGATGAGCCATCAAATTGTAATTGGTTTTGGTTTTGTATTTGATTGAGATTTCAGGCATGAGATTTCTTTACTAATCTGATTGCAGAAAAATATTAATAGCTATAAAAAAGAGTGGGAATGACTTTTAACTGTGCCTTCATTTTACATTGTGAACACCTAAAGATACAAACAGATTTGCTTTCAGCATATACGACATTTTGCAGTGATATCATTAAATAAATATTATTTTAGAATTGTCTCAGATATGAAAATCACAACCAGTTCTTCTGTGGTCCTGCTATTTGCAATTTTGTGGACATAGAATTAAAAAGCCCTTCTCTCTGATTTTTCAAGCAAGTAATGAAGAAAAGTGTAACAAGTATTCATTAAATGGTTAAGAATATATGAAGGTCATATATTTTAACTGCGAATAAAGACATGAATGAAAGTGATCTTCGCAGTGATATGCACTACTAAGGCAGTAGTGAAAATAAGGCCTGAAAAAAAATTCAGGCCTGTACAGGATTTGAACCCATGACCTCTGCGATACCGGTGCAGCGCTCTACCAACTGAGCTAACAAGCCAACTGGGAGCTGGTCATGATGGTGGTTCTAAATAAACCCATGAAGTGATGAATAGACGGTTAAGAATATATGAAGGTCATATATTTGAACTGCGGATACTGAAAGACATGAATGAAAGTGATCTTCGCAGTGATATGCACTACTAAGGCAGTAGTGAAAATAAGGCCTGAAAAAAATTCAGGCCTGTCACTTTCATTCATGTCTTTATCCGCAGTTCAAATATATGACCTTCATACATGAATGAATGTTTTTCAGGCCTTATTTTCACTACTGCCTTAGTAGTGCATATCACTGTGAAGATCACTTTCATTCAAGTATTCATTAAGTTGGTTTTTCTCTTTTCTTTATATAGAATGCAATCTTATAATTTACAAATTATAATTTTTTGCTAGAGTATTTTTTTTATTATGTTATATGATGTTTAAAATTAAAAGGAATTATATATTAACTGCTTTGATTGACTTTAATTTTTTTGCGATTGATTACACTATAGTCTATTTACTTAATCTTTGTTTTAATTATCCATTAATTCTGCATTGATGAACTAATTCTTTGTCATATTTTATGAATACTGGTAGCTATATACTGAAGAAAAAAGTAAATAAAAAAAATTGCTGGCAATGTGTATGTGCTTTTTGTAAGTTAACAGAGTCTTATTTAATCAATAGCCATTAGCAGTCATCATGCACATTTTGATGTTCTCTTTTAGATGAAAGACAAGTCTAACAAATTGTCTGGGAGAGTCATCAAACTTAATCTCATGTGCACAAATAAAACACAAAAAGGTCAGCCAGTATTACAAGCTTGTTATCTTTTCAAGGCAGTGGGACATGTAACATGTAAGTAAAATCTCATTATGATGATTAAGTTAAACTTTGCAGAATTCCTATTTTCCAAGAAAAACTCAGTGATTAACTTTTATGTTTGTTGAAGCTGGTTCACACAATGACAAGTTAACACATACTAGAGAAATCTAGTGAGAAATCTCATGAGCATGAAAACCAGTAAATTCAAGGCTTAGACTGTCATATTTGAGTCTTTTTGAGTCATGTATGTATGTATTATTTTAACATAGCAATACAGAGTAATATACTAATATACGTTAACTTTTGGTCAACAACTTTATGAGGTAACTGTTAATAGTGTGTGTTGAAATTGTTGCAATTTTGAAGGTACAATTTGCTATTGCATGGGGAAAAATTGGGTAACTTTGTATAAGATTAAAATTCCCCTAGAATGCAAAAAACCTTTGAAGGCTAAGCAATAATTGTACCATATACTGTGATTTACTTATGGCAGCTAACCAGTATGCTTTTTATAGCAATATATTATAAACAGAGCTCTCAAGTTGATTTGCTAGCAGAGATTGAGACACCACTGGCATCACATATCAGGAGGGAAACTGCTAATAAAATGTGCTTTCTTTTATTCGAAGTGAGAGTTTCCACTGCAGCAAGTGTTAGTAGCAAGTTAAAAGGGAGCAAAGAGTAAATCATATATTCAGTTTTACAGGAAGATTCCACTTGATAGGAGCAGCAGCATATTACCTCAAAATCAATGGTTTAAATCAGAAATCAGTATCTTATCTAGGGTACCCAGCTAAGGGGGCATTATGTGTCCTAGTCAACAATTTTCAGAGGGACATAACCTACCCCCTGTATAGCATTTGTTCAAACTAGTGCCTGAAACTTCGGAGAATTAAGCCTTTTATGTATGTCATATACCCTGGATTTTGGTTCTTGCTTTTAACTTGTAATTCTTCTGAAATTTAAACCAAAATATTGTTTTAAGAAGATTTTATTCAAGGCGAGATTACATTTCCTTGTTTCGTTTTCTTTTGAAACACAATTTGAAGTGCACCTAAATGACTCAGAAAAGTTATTTGAAGAAGATATATTTGCTCAAACCATGGAAATCCTGCAATGGTGTGCTCTAGATCAGACAGTGAGAAACTTGACTCACTGCTTGATGAAGACTATCAGTTGCGATAGTGGTTGAAATAAAACAATGTACATGTATGCATACTAGACAAGCTGTAAAATGTTCAATAGGAAAAAAAACAGATCTGCCATAACTGTACCTGTCCTGCTACATGTAAGAGTGTGATTCAGATCCCTCAATTTGCTTTTTGCAGATTATGCCCCAGCAAGGACAAGTACTGTACATACTTTTCGGACATCTGTGGGTTATCACACATCATCATCATTAACACATCCATCTTCACCATCACCACAATTACCACAATCAACACAAATAACTTCAATGTCATCATTGTCACATTCAGCATCTCTACCATCACCATCTCCTTCCTTAGATGTCATGACAAGGATTCCAACAACACTCACTGAAAAATTTTCACACATGGGAACCAGATCTCTTGAAACAAGGCCGGCCTTACGTACATCCAGATCAATTCTGCCATTAACATTAAATACAGAAGTTGAAAGCCTCTTGTCAGTCAGTTCAGAGGACGTTAGTAATCAAGTAATATACACAGGAATTCATACATCATCGGTTACCACAGGAGAGCCAAATTATAGTGAACCATCAGAGGTGGGTTTTCTTACTGGGAAAAGTTGTTGTTTCTATCAGTGTAAATGTGAATAGGATCCAGTGATACCACTACACCTAAAAGCCCATGGCTGTGACAAAAATGAATTTGAATAGCGACTTTAGGAGCCTAGAGATTATGATAGTGCCAGGAAGTTAGCAATTAAGTGAATTCATTGGCCTTAAGGTTGACCCACTGGATGCCACAGTACTTTCAAAATATGATTTGTTTTCTGAAATCCAAAATGATTTACTGTATGACAAGGGATTATAGAGTACAATATTATTGAAGGTATGGTAAGATTGTACCTTGCAAAGATCTTTAAATTACAGGGTATAATTTATTTAATAATTATTTAACCTTTTTTATCCATGTCCTCTTATAGCTACTGACCACTGAGGCAAGTTTTCCTCCTGTGGATGGTCCAGGAGACAAAGAGGCCAAAAAAAGTGGAAAAGACAAAGGAGTAGCAATTGGTGGAGGAGTTGGTGGTGCTGTTGCTTTTGGGATTATTGTCATAGGGTTGATCACTGTATTTTGTAGGAGAAGAAAGTTACGGTAAGTCACTTAAACATAAACTGAGAGAATTTTACAGCTGAAGCTAAATGCCTTGTCCAAAGTAGGAGTGTGTAACTAATCAAATGAATGAGATCAATTTTTAGTAAGTAAGATGTTAGAAAAAGAGGAGTCCAATTACTGCTATATTATTAAATGGGTGACTAAGAAAGTTGTGGGATTACTAAGTTGGAGTCTATTCTGTTAATTGTAAGAATGATAATAGCTGGAATTAATTTATTGGACAACACAAACTCCCATTATGCACAAATGTACAAATATTGCATATATAGTAACTAGTTTTATATCATGACAGATACTGTCCTTTTACAATGTGTCTACTTACAAGCATGGCGTGTAAACTTTCCTGTTAGTGTTTAAATCCAGCTTCTGATAACCTGAATCATCTTTTAGAATTTTGTTAAATATAGTTTTGAGTGAGTCAAACCTTGTACCTTAATTTAGACATGAATATATTTATTAACACAAATAAGGTGATTACATATGTTAGGATATGTTATATATGTTGAAGAATGTTGACAGGCTATTTGTTCTCTACTCAAAGTGTTACATAGGATTCAAAATTCAATAAGAAACTTTTAGTGAAGAACATTCATTTGTAGAATGCATATTAGTTGAGAATGAGTAATTATACAAAACATACAATACAAACTTTAAAACCATAAGCCCTAAGCTTTCTCTACTTCATTTCTCTTTCATAGCAACATTGAACTTTGTATTTCTTAATTGAAGAGAGCAAAAGAGTGTACAGAGATCAGACTGAGATGAAAATTTGCTTTGACTTTTTTCATTATAAAATTGGCATTTTGTTATGTAATAGAGAAGTCTTGTGAAATTTTTATACTGTCAGGGTTTTCAAAATGAAAAAAAGTATCAGGAGGAAATTTTAAAATAGCCGGAGCACCACTGCGCCGCGACAGCGGCGCCGGGCGGCAAAGCCGCCCGTGGGGAGGGTGCGGGAGGGGGTTTCCCCCTCCTGCAGAAAATTTTGAAAATCTGCATGCTCTGAGGTGCATTCTGGTGCATTTTCAGGACCAAAAAGTTATTTTTTAGGTCGTTGTACACTTTATTATAACCTAGAGTTTTTCTTAAATCTGACTCATTATCAAGAGTTTCTTGAAAATTATGTTTACTCATACATATTACAATGCTTTCCTTCCAGTCCCATGTTACATATTACAATTTACATCTAAATAAAAATTGACCTCTTTCCCTTGTCAGTACTTCATTGACCTGTTATAACATGAATCAACTTTTGAAATAATTATTTTTGCAGTCAGAGTTTTCCTACAGATTGAAAATACAGATGAACAGTTTCGTTATGGCATCCAAGCACTCAGGCTCGATTCTTTTTAGTTAAAAGTCACTGTCACTGAAATCACTTTCCCCCATTGCACTGTCCCTGTCACTGTCGTCACAACTTGGATCATCTTGAAAATTTGCTAAGCCAAGTTTAATGAGGGCCTGCTCTTCCTCTTGCAACGCTTGTTGTTCTTCTTGACTCTGACGATCTTCAACTTGTGGGTCCGTCTGTGTTGATACACTTGTTAATTCTGGTGGTGCAGGTTCTTTGCCCTTGCTTTCTCTTGAGGCTGACTTCCCTTTGGCCAAATTGTAGCGTTTTCCAGAGAGCCATTTCTCAGTGGTCTTCTTCACCAGGGTGTCACATTCTGAAGAATTTGCCTCTGGACCATTCATAGAGATATTAACAAGGGCCTCCAGCATCTCATTGGTCAGCCTGCTCCTGAGCCTTGACTTTATAAGCTTAACTCGACTGACTCCCCTTTCAGGCCATGCGTTGCTTATGGGCATCGTGAGAGCTATTTCTACAATGTGCATGAGGAGAGAGGAGAAGAGAAAGGAAAGAAGATCTTTGTTTCATTAGCTGGGACATGCACCACTCTGCTGGCATGGTAGTCTTGCCTTCTTTTACATCAGCTGGAATGGCCATCTCCTTCATGTGGTACTTTAATATATTCCACTCTGCCAAAAGTCGGTCTTGTTGGTCGGGGAAGTAGTGCTTGGCAAGAACTTGGATAGAATCTACTCCGTAAGAGGGAAGTTCTGAAGAGCTTGCAGGAATAAGAGTTGGATCAAAGATGGAGAGCGCTCCCAGAAGAGGGAGGGTGTTCTGAAACCTCAGGTCGATGTTTTCCTTCAAAGCAGAGACATACTTGAGCAACAAATTTCGCATGGATGCAAGCTGATGCTCAGAAGGGGAAAACTGCAGCAGCACCATCTTTCCTTCCTTGATATCTTGGCAAAATTGCTTGATGGGGACTTCTTTGGTTGCCACTTCATCCAGCGCTGCCTTAGCACGAACAATTTCTGGTTTAAGGTGACTGAAATTGACAGTAGAATGCTGAAACGATTTTGACAGGTTGTCAAGAACAGGAAGCACATGCTTTAAAACATACAAGCAAGCCAGGAAGCGGACGTTGTTCATTTGAACTAACAGGCCCTGGCATGTGGGGTCCTCATCTTTCATCCTGATAAGGAACTGGATGATGGCAGAGAAGCTCTCCCAAGCGGATTGAACGGCAGCGTTAAATGACAGCCATCGTGTCTGACAGGCCTTCTTCAGCTTCTTAGCTATCTTCTTCTGCGAATTCTTGTTTGAGAGAGTTATTTCACTCACCTCAAGTTGAACTTTCAGGAAAATGGCTGTCTTCTTGTTCGAGTTGTCAAGGAGTTGCCAAAGGGTGTTTAGTGTGTTCTGCATCTTCTTTATTGTGGCAAGATCGTTTAAAGTGTCGGTACACGCCAGCGCTAGTTTGTGACAAACACAGTGGACAGATATTAACGACTGGATTCTTTCATCTGCTTTCAGCCTGGTAGCTACACCTGACCTTTCTCCCACCATGACACTTGCTCCATCTGACACAAAGCTTTTAAACCAGTCAAAATTGAGACTGTGTTTCTCAATGACTTCCAGAAGGATGCTTGTGATGGTTAAAGAATCTGCTGCGTCAGAGCTGGCGAGAACATTTTCCAAACACAAAAATTTCACCTCAACCTTTTCGCTACCCCTGTTATAATACTGGATGAAACCAATCATTTGCTCCAAATTTGCAATGTCAGTCATGTCATCAACCATCACCCCAAATGGCCCAGTTACAGCAGAAATGACTTCATTTTGAATCATTTCACCAAGAAGAAGCAACATGTTGCGAAAGGAACCTACTGATGTGTGATTAAAGCCACTCATATCACACCCCAGCTTCGCAACCAACTTTAACAGACTCTTAACCTTGACATTTGCTATATCCTCCTTTGCCAACCAGTAAAGGCAATAGAAAACTCTTTCATACACATCAACCTGAACTTCAGCATTATGATCGAGCTCTTTCTGGAAAACTGAGAACCTGTTCATAAGAATGGCAGTGATTGCATCTTTGTGTCTCTTTGTTGCAATGTGCTCCTCGAGGCAATCTTTCTTTAACCTTGTGCTTGGTTCTGCAGAAAAAAATTCCTTTTTGTTTTGGGGATTCTTGGAATCAAACTTCTTGCAGATCAGACAGTATTGACCTTCTCCTTCGATGTAAACGAGCCACCACAACTGTACTTTAGGGCTATAGGCCAAATCCTTATTAAAGATAAGGCTGTGATTAAACATCTGCTTCTTTTTGGTTGTTTTGATGCGTGCTCTTTCTTCTTGAGACACACCCAAGCAGTCACGCTTTTTGCAGAGAATGTAGTGATGAATTTTCTTCGTCTGCTGTTCTTCAGTGAAACTGTTCGTGATATCACTCTCTGACTGTATACACACAGTATCTGTGGGAGGAAAATACATGTAAGATTCTTTACCTTTTTTCTTCAGTGTGTGATGCAAACCACCAACTAGAGAAGGCTACTCTCAAAAAAAGAAAGAAATATCACGAATTGTAATAAAAAGTTCGTTTACCTTCAGCGTGGTTGGTAGGGGCTGCGGTCACAGAGATTTCTTGGCAGTCGCGTAACACATTGACGGGCAAACTTTCGGCATCTTCGAAGTTTAAGGACGTACTAGGCGTTGCAGAAGACCCTTCCGTGTCTGGTGCATCTAACGAAAGCAGTGAGAATATGTATCGATGTTGACAATGTGTACCATTTATCCCCCATGACCAACGCGTTAAATAAACCAAGCATAGTTATTTCGCGCTCACGTATATGACCTCACGTATACAAAATTTGAGTTAAAGGCGGAGATTAAATTTTATTTTTTAGCGCGACATACAAGCTCCATAAATAATGCATTGTTAGCCAAAATTTCAATCGATTAGATAAATCAATTTTATTCCGCGGGCACAACTGTTTTAACTGTTTTTTTTAGTTATCAGAAGAACAATGCTTTGCTAAACAATCAATTTCAGTAAAACTCATATATGTTAAGCGAGCCGTAACATGTGGCGCGACTTATGTCGCGACTAGTCTGGCTGTGTCGGCTTCGTATAAAATTAATTTTCCATAAAGAACTGTAAAACATTCAGTTTCACCCGCTTTACTGATTATGAAGACTTGAAATGAAACTTTAAGTCTCACAAAAATCTTAAAAATGCCTGGCTTATATAAAAAGTTAAATGTGACCAAATTTGTGTCGGCATAAAATTTATTTAATCGCCAGAGTCTGCCAGTTCATTCTCGAAACGGCGCCTCACGAAACCAAGCGTTGAATAAATAAAAGCATCCCTTATAAATCGCCTTGTTGACAATAAATAATTCAACCTAAGCGATACAATATTGTTTTCAAGCAATGTTTCATTCATAACATGCACCAATACTTATTTTCTGATGGACTGGGGGATTGTAAACAGGAACCCGGCGAACATTTGCATTTTAAAAAGTGTTTCATACCTGCAATCTCCTTTCTTTGCTGTTTGAACCCAAACTGGGTTAAAAGCGGCTGTGATTTCTGCCTTTTCATCCGGTGACTGGGACCGTTTTCTTAAAGAAAGCGCCAAGTACAAAGCTCTCACGAATTCACAAACAGATTCAAACACGCGATGTGGAGAAGAAGACGATTTCATAATTCGCTTACGCAAGAAAAAACTAGTCACGAAATAGCAGGATCAAATGTCGGTCTTTCGTGGGAAAACGCAAATGGTTTCCAGTCCAAGTTGAATGCTGTTGAATAAAAGAGTTACGATTTCTGATGCTGGAACGCGATCAGTGGGCAAGAACAAAATATGTTATCCTTAACTTTAACCCATAGGAATCGGAACTTTATGTTTTTTTAATTTTTTTTTTTAATTTTGACTTCCAAAAGTACCCGGCGCTAACGCTCGAAGTAGCCGGTGACTTGCGTCGGGCGCCGGTTACTTTTGAAAACACTGTTAACGTACCCAGCCAAATAAAATTTCATGTAGTCAAATCCTCAAATTAAATTTTTAGACAAACATGGAAACAGACTTCAGCCACAGAAATTGTATGACGTGGTTCCATCTTAAAATTAAATTTTTAAACAAGACAGAAACACAGAAAATTAATTTTAATAAATGCACCTACCATCGCGACTTTCTTGGTTCCTTATACAAGTGTGCAAGTCTTCTCTGTAAGTACTGTGAGATCTGTTGCACTGGCAAATACAGTCATTCGACGTGGAAATTAAGTTGCTGTTCATTTGTTTGCAAGGATTTTCTTCGTTATTACAAGTTCCTGTGTAATTGTAGAAGAATATACTATCTCCGTTTCTCAATCGCGAAACTGAACATTCGCGTGTCTGGCCAGATGTTGACATAAACAAACATACGAGGACCAAAATTCGTTTTAAGATCGTGCTGCACTGATTCAAAATTTTTCCCTTTGAATAAAAGTTTTCTCGTCCAGCTCGTCCCCTCATCATATATTAAAGCGATATTCCAATATGTTTCGGATCAACTATTATTAAACAGGAAAATATGTATTTCCCAAAATCTTTAGTCTTTGTCTCGGCGTTCTCTTCTCTTTGAGTTGAAGAAGCACATTGAGTAATTAGAAATTCCGTGATCCTTAACATCCGCGTCAGTAACTGCTGTAAAGATTCGAAAACGCCCTTCCCGCAATTGTCAATCGTTCAGGAACTTAAGCCTTGCAAGAATGTTTTATTCCGACCGGAAGCCAGTATGGTACGAATGTCGTCTGCAGACCCTCGCCCAATTTTCGCGCGCGTGTGATTCTGACCACTTCTGGTGGTTTCGTCGATAACTTTCCTGATTCCGTAAGTTTGATGTTCTTGAAAACACCATAAAAGCAAAAGAAGGACTATCCGTGTCTGGCATGAAGATATTTCTATATCTGTTGATACATCTTTATAATCATGTCTTGTTGATAAGTTGTCTTGTAGCTCATTCGCTAGTTGATCCACTCTGTAAATATTGAGTCATTTGCTATTTTCGTCACAAAGCTTGGGGCAGATTGTCTCCTTGGTTTCAATTTAACTATAATGCATAGCCTAGAGCGCGTTCAATATGGATTATTTGTCGTCTTTACGACGCCAAGCCATTAGAAAGATTCAACATACGGAAGCTAAATGAATTTCTTCGTCCGCCATTTTTGGAAATGGACATTTCAAAAGAACATCACGTTAACGTAACGCAGAAATATCTTATGGGAGGGGTGGTAGAGGGCATAGCTGTGCCTAGCAGAAATTTGAATGTTTCTGTCCTGGGTTTAACAAGTATTGTGAGTCCACTCCATTTAAATTCGTTAACGGTTTTCTCTTAATGAAAGTAGAATGACGGTACGTAATTTCCGGTTAGAAAAAATTCAGGGATTGAAGGACGGGGTAAGATGAACAAATTTCTTACTTTCTGCTCTGTAGTGGGGTGGGAATAATTTTTGTCCTGGTCCGCGTCTGCTAAAATCATTAACATTTCTTTTGCATTAACTGCACGGTTGACTCAACACGCAGCTATTTGTATCAGTATTATTTACCCATTAACAGAGATTTACGTAAAACCCAAATTTCCTAAGCGAGGAGAACCTTCCTATAATGTTCCTGACTGTGAATATATGAAAATTATATATGTGAACTGCGGATAAAGACGTGGATATCTTCATTACTGCGAAGATCGCTTTCATGTTCACGTTTAATGTTCCTGTCAACACTCTCTGAGGGTGGTATGAAAACTGATAAATTTAGACAAGGTACAAGAATTTACAACTATATCTGCATGACACCAACATGTTCCTCCTCAATGTCGTGCAGCAAAAGGAAACAGTTCGTTCTACCTCGTTGTTGTTCTATATATAGCCGAGGCAGCGTTAGGATTGGTAAAGTTTCCGCACAGCCCCATACTATTGTAAAACAAATCTGTTTTCCCAACGGAAATGTATTGTTTTTGTCATTGTTTCCTCTGTTCAAGAACTGAATGCATAATGCATAATACCTTAGGATTTTGTGAACGACGCCATTTTTGCTTCCGGCGATCAATAAGCAGTCAGATAATTCATTTAAAACTGGATGGTCATGTACAACGTGGCATCAGTTTTCACTGTTCTCGTCTTTATAGGCCCACCACATCTTTTCGCATCAGGTAAGCCGGGCATGTACACCTGAATTCATTAATTTTATTTAACAAATAGAGAAGCCTTGACTGTGCTCTGTTCTGTTATAGAGCACGCAGGAAGTGGCTAGAGCACGAAAGAAGTGTAGGGAGAAACACGAGACGTAGTCGAGTGTTTCTTCCCACTTCCTTTGAGGATTTTCGTATCTGCTCACATTTTAATAACGTAAATTACGGCGCCTGGTATATTTACAAACCTTTGTTTGATTCTTCTGTTGCTACTTGCCGGCTCGCTTCAGTTCCGAAATTTCACTTTCAATTATCGGGAAAAAGCTAAAAAGAAGTCCCGGAAAAGGTCGAACATAGTACGATTGGCAGATGGCGTGACAGCTTTAGCTCAGTTCTATGCTCTATACTCTCATAGAGCACGCTCTTTCAACCAATGACAGCGCGCGTTATATCCGAACTTTATTATAAAGAATAGATAGTTTAGAAAAGATACGTTACAGTATAGTTGTTGTTATACTCCGTATTCACTCATTTAAACTCCGTCACAGTAGACTGTTACAAGCTCTTAGCCTCTGGAGACGGAAAGCGTACTTCGACATCCGTCAGAAGGAGGTCATCTCGGGTAGATTTCCGATTACGAAATCCGAGCTCGCCCGATGTTGTCTTCGTGATGAAGGCCCTATTTAGCATATTAGACCCGCAAAACAGAATAGAAACGAACACGTGCTTCGTTTTCGCTCATGACTTCGTATTAGCGTCAAGATATTTGCATTTTTTTCCGTTGCTTACCTATATTACAGTCTCCAAAAAATTTTTGCGATGCCTCCTTTTCACAGATGGTCGATTACAACTACAACATAGTGACACCTAGAGAGCAGTAAAGAGCAGTTTTTTTTTCAGTTTTGACAGATTTCGTGGAGGTGTTACTATGTTGTAGTTGTAATCGGCCATCCGTGAAAAGGAGGTATCGCAGAAATTTTGTGAAGTCTGTAATAAAGGTAAACAACGAAAAAAAAGCAAATATCTTACGGCTAATACGAAGTCATGAGCGAAAACGAAGCACGTGTTTCGTTTCTACTCTGTTTTGCGGGTCTAATATGCTAAATAGGGCCTTCATCACGAAGACAACATCGGGCGAGCTCAGATTTCGTAATCGGAAATCTACCCGAGATGACTTCCTTCTGATGGATGTCGGAGTACGCTTTCCTCTGGAGACGAACGAAATGGCGTACGAACGACACCGCCCCTCTCTCGTCTTTGGACTCGGCTAGTCACGCAACACGCCCTCTTCTCGAATTCTCCTCATAGAACGTTGCGTGACGTACCTTGTCAGGTAAAAAAAGAAAGAAAGAAAGAAAAGAAAGAGCGCGCACCCCCAAATGCAGGTAAGAAATTGCACTGATGTAAGACCCTCTATCGGACAAACCTTTCTTCGTTTTTGTATCGAGGAGTGAGCCTTATATATTTTGGCCGATTTGAATTGATAACATTTATGGTGTTTCAGGTGCTTGTACAGACAACCATAACTCTTGTTCCGATTGGGCTGGTATCGGGGAGTGTTCAAAAAATCCTCTGTGGATGCTTGATAATTGTCCGGTGAGCTGCAAAGTGTGTTCTGGAGTACCGGGTGAGTCAGGCCTTTCTAAAGGTTGTTGTTGTGGTAACGCGTTTGCCATGGCCTAATAAATGAGTACCCGTTTTGTACAATGCAATTAAGGGCCCTAAGGTAAACGTGACCTCCTCAAAAAAGTGACAAGTTATGATAACAATAACCATAACAATAACGATGATGATGATGGTAATGGTAGTAATAATGACAAAGATGGCAAGAATAACGATAATAGAAATAGTAATGATAATAGTTGTAGATGGCCTTATGGATGCTTACGTCAGAAAGGAAAATTACACCCACAAGGTACTCGCCTTCAAGGAGTGGACTGGTGGATCATATTAAGAAAGTATTCCCAAAACATTTTTATCGAAATGATTTCGACGTGAAAATGAAAGAAGGTGGTACATATTCGAACAAAATGCAGCGTCAACGTGACTTGATGGGGGAGGGGGAAGGAATTTTCAGCAAAGTACGTCATTAGGTTTAAGAGCGATTTTAGGCTAAAATGCTCATTTCGAGACGAAAGATGTATGTCAAAAAAGGGGTTGCCGACGACTTTTTTATGAATTGATTTCACATCTTAGCGTGTGTCAACATTTACAATGACCAGTACTGTAAAAGTAATGTGGGGAACTGTTGGACGTCGTCCATTGCTGCTGATCTTGTAAAGAACTGTAGGAAAACTTGTGTTTGTAAATGCTGCCCCTCAAGTCCTACAACAGTACCAACAACTGCATATGTCCATAACGCAACAAGGTATACAACGGTATCAGCTTTGACCTCGGCTACCACTTCAGTGGAAATAGCAACGACATCAGCTTTGACCTCGGCTACCACTACTGTGGAAATAACAACGACAGCAAAGGATATCAGTACCACGCCTCAAACAACATCAACAATAACAAACTCGACTCCAAACGAGGAGAGAACTACGGTGCAAACAGGTGAGGGAAGGGGGGGCACGTACCCTTGATTTTTATAGTCTCCTTCCTAGCTATTCTTTCGAATGTCACGTAACGCTTTGCCCAGAGACAGGGGGAGTGTTGTGTAACAACGTAAAGAACTATTGCAAAGCAGGCCAACCTTTCTACAGATAACGAATAAAATGTAACGAAGTTGTTTCCTTCGCCGCCGTTCTTTGGGATTTGGAAGTTGCGTTACACCACAAGGAACGGCTTCGAAGAGGACTAGCAGTGGCAACGAATGTAAATAAGGAAATAAGATCTGAGTACGAATTACGTTCTTGCGGTACCAAGAGTTTGAA